TTGAGGGAATGCCCATCAATTGGAGAATAGCTAAACAAGTTGTGGTAATAGGATTGTAAGGTAATATTACTGTGCTATAAGAAATGACAAACGGGATGATTTCAGGAAAAAAAAACTGGAAAGACTTACATGAACTGATTCGAAGTGAAGTGAACAGAACCAGGAGAACATTGTATATGGTAACAGCAATACCATACAATAAAAAACTGTCAATGACTTAGCTATTCTCAGCAATACAATGATCCAAGACAATCCCAAAAGACTCATAATGAAAAATACTACCCCCTTCCAAAGAAAGAACTGATGTCATCTGATTACAGACAGAAGCATACTATTTTTCACTTTCTTCCTTTTTTTGTTTGAGTTTTCTCACACAAAATCACTAATATGGAAATGTTTTACATAACTGCACATGTATAAATTAGATTGTTTGCCATCTCAAGGAGGGGAGAGGGAAGGGAGAGAAGGATATAATTTGAAACTCAAAACTTTTAAAAATGTTAAAAATTGTTTTTACATGTAATTGGGGAGAAATAAGATATTATTTAAAAACATAATTCCCCCACTCACTAAAGGGACTATTGTGGACTTGCTTTGTATAAAATGTAAATATCATGATCTCAACAAAACTCGTCAGTCAGCTCTGGCAAGTTCCCACTGAACCTGTTTTGGGACTTAGTTACACATGGATACGTATGATAGACTGAGCCATCCCATGATTGGTGCCCATGGATGGCTCTTTCTGTATCAGTCTCACCCAGTCCTGCAGATGAGACGCACCAAAATCCTGCTTCTGTTTCTCTTTAGCCACAATTCCCTCTTCTAACGCTCTACTTAAAGGCCAGACTCTAGACTAAGGTGGCATCAGTCCATCGGGAGAATGAGCCACTGCATCTGACTAAAATTAGAGCACAGAAGAGACTTTGTCAACTCTAGCCACCTGAGCCTCAGGATAAGGCAAAGGGAGGCTGGTGTAGTCACTCAGCCATTAAGTATTTATTTAGTGTTTACTATGTGCCAGACAGATTTGAAACCAGGAAAGCCTGAGTTTGAATCCTGCCTTAGGCACTTACTAGCTGTGTAACCCTGGGCAAGCCACTTAACTTCTCTTGAGCCTCAGTCTCCTCATCTGTAAAATAAGGGGGTCAGACCTCTAAGGTCCCTCCCAGCTTTAAATCTCTGATCCTATCAGAGGCCAGTTTGCAGAGGAAACTCATTTATGTCAGGGCCAGCTGAACTGGGAGCCCCACTCCATTCCTTCAGGTCCCACAACCAGAGAATACTGTGCCTTGTCCTTAAAGACTCTGGTGCTCTACTCTGTCAGGTCCAGCTGTGTGGGAGGAGGGAGGTGTGGAGAGGGGGAGGCACACAGCTGGAACACAGCAAGGGAAGCAATAACACCTCTCCTATTTCAGGTAAGAATCAAATGAAAAATGGAAGTCAATATTTGGATTTTCACTTTACAGTCAACTTGGCTAGAACACATCTATTCCAGATACAGTAGTGAGAGGCAGAAAAACTACAAGCTATGTTTCCTCTTCAACATCCCACACCACCCTAAACTGTGGGGTTTTAGATACAGAAGGAAAATCTCCCCTCCCCCACTCACACACTTAAACAGTAGCTCTCATTCCATAAAGAGGGAATTATTTTGTCTCACAATGGAGAAAGCAGCAAGTTTCAGAGTTTGCCCCAGGAAAGCAAGTGCAGCACCCCAACTTCAGGGAAGGAAAACCAGATTCAAGAGCAATCTGAAAGCCCTAGAAAAACAAGGAGAAATTCTATGTAGGGGCAGCTTTCTTGGTCTTTTTAACTGTGGCTTTAATAGCGCTATTCCTGCCAAATTTCCCACCTGATGCAGGGAATCAGGAGCTATTGCTAGAGAAAGAAAATAAAATAATTCCAAGTCCCACCAGTATGCTCAGGTTTAGGTGTTAAGAATCTCAACTCCAGAGGACTGATGGTAAAACCCACTTTCCTCCTCTTAGCAGGGAGGTGGTAGACTACAGGTACACAGTGGGGCAAACACTGCTAATCATGGTCAGTATGTTAGTTTGTTTTGTTTAACTATACTTTTTTGTTATAAGGTAGGGTTCCATTTAGTGGTTGTACAGGAAGAGTGTCAATGTGAAATTACAGGGAAATTTTTCAAACATTAATAAAACAGTGTTTTAAAAGAATTGGTTGGATTTCCCAGGATGGGCCTGCCTGAGATTCACTTTCAACCAAGCCAATAAAAAATTCCCACTCCATTTCTCTCAAGTGCCCATTAAGAAATTCAGAACTAGAAGGAAGTTTAGAGTACATCAAATTCAAGGGCTTCATTTTACAGATGAAGAAACTGAGGCCCAAAGAAGTTAAGAAATTTGCATAGGGTCACTCACAGGGATAGATAATGACAGAGGTAGGGCTCAAACCCAGATCTCCTGACTCCTGACCTGGGCTCTGTCCTTTATTGCCTCATGTTCAGATTCTTGCTTTCATACACTGGAATACCAGAGGTGCTTGACAAATGCCTGCCTGAGGCCTGCAGACAGCGATAACATTCTGTATTAAGGCTAACTCAAAGCCTTGATTAAATGTGAAAGTTCTCAGACCCCTCAGCATAATCACTCTTTCAAAATACAGAGTGTATCACCCTCAGATGACCACAGCTTCACAGGTTCATAGATCTGAGCACTGGAAAAGAACTCAGAGCAGGGTGTGCTGGTAAATGTTCAGGAACTGGCTGGGCAAGACACCCCTTTAAAGTTTATTTGCATTATTAACATTTCTCCATCACTTTCTTAAGTATAAAAAAAAATGACAAAACAATAAACCAAGCCCTGATTTGCAGCATCTGCTGATTTCTAAGGTGTAAACACTCCAACTGAAAATTTGACAATTGGCTCTTATAACCAGCCAACACACCACCCGGCTCAGAGGCCATCTACTCATCAACTCCACTCACTTTACAGTTGAGGAAACTGAGGGCAAGGGGAATTAAGGGAACTGCCCAATGGCACACAGGGAGTCGATGTCAGGTAGGATCTGAGCCCAGGCCCTTGGGCTATAGAGTCAGTATTCTGTCTAGAAGGGCCCCCTCAGGATCCCAGGACACCTCACCTCGAAACCAGAGAATGCAAGCCAAGTGCAACCAAAATGAAAACCAAGAGACTTCCTGCTGATGGCCCACCCTGCGACTCCACCACGACATGAAGGTGAGCTGGAGCCCATGCAGACAGAGTGCAAGCTCCGCACAGCACCACCACGCTGAAGAGGTTGCTGTGGCAATACTATGGCTGGGCTCACGTGTCTATCACCAAGCACCAGTGCAAAGGAGCTCAGCCCCAAGAGTCGGCCAGATGATGCCATAACAGGGACGCACATCAATTAAATTAGGTAACAAATCAACTGTCACCACACACAGCCTGTCCCCCAAATCTCCACACACACACACACACACACACACACATAAAATACCACACTTTTAAGATAAAGGACTTCTGCTTTCAAGATGTCTGGGACTACCCCACTGCCCCACAGATCATCAAGGAGGAATTAAGTAAAAAGGAAGCCCCTGACACCTAAGACATGCTTAATAAAGGCTTGTTGCCTGACTAAATTAATCCCTTAAAACCTCTTACTTTATTAAATTAGTTCCCATAGTATTGCAACCTGTTGGGAGGGCAGTCAGAAATATAGCAACAGCTGCCAGTCCAAATGTACACTGAAACAATGATAACAATGATAACTAGCATTTATAAAGTCCTTGAAAGGTCTGAAAAGCACTTAACATGTAATCTAATTTTAACTCATCTGATCTTTACAACAACCCTGTGAGGTAGGTGCTATTATTTTCCCCATTTTACAGATAAGGAAAATGAAGGCCCAGAAAAGTTAAGTGAGCTGCCCAGGGTCACAAAGCTAGTTAAGTATGAGAGAAAATTTGCACTCAGGCCTTCCTAACTTCATGTCCAGCACTCTCTCCGCCGTACCACCTGAGGAGGATGGAGATCCCTCATGGTCAAGCTCCACTTCCTACTGAGGGTAAGGACTCACAATCTTTCACTGTGGACTATAATAAGAAAATTGAGAAATGTGTCTCTTTAGAAGAGAAGTACAGTGGAAAGCACGCTTGATTGGAGACCAAATGATTGGGTTCAAATGTCAGCTCTGCCTGTGTGACCTTGGGCAAGTCACTTAACCTGGGAGGGTAGGAATAAGGATCCTAGCTCTTAGAGGTGGAAGGGAACTCAGAGGCCATCCAACACCCATAGTTTACAGATGAAGAAACTGAGGCTCACAGAGGTTAAGTGGCTTGCCCAAAGTCACACAAGTAGTTGCTATCAGAGGTGGAATCTGAGCCCAGATCACTGTGCTCTTGCCACTGCATCTCAACATCACATGACAACCTCTAAAATCCCTTCCAGCTTTTAACCTACAATTCTGCAATCGTACCTACATGATGACAGGGCAGTCACTTAAGTTCTCTTTGCCTCAGTTTCTTCATCTTTAAAACACTGGCCAGTTGGACTAGATGACCTCTAAGGTCTTCCTGGCCATAAACCCATCATCTTACATTTCACTGCTTTGTTCAATTAAGTGAAATCCATTAACATAAGTTTTCTCAAAGAAAAAGTGAATTGGCACTACACCTCAGGAAGCAAAACATATTTTCCTTTCGTCTGAAAAAGGTTCATTGACCCAAATTTCCCACTGCCTGCCACCCAGGGTTCTGAGACTGTTTTCAGTTTCTTGCATTAGGTTGGGGTGTCCAAACTGACCTTCTAGCCTCCACCATGAGCTGCTGTTCCTGATGAGAAGCATCAAATAAAATACTAATGTATCTCCACTAACGGACAAAGAAAAGCATTCAGCAAGGTGAGTTTCCTCCTCTGTGTGACTCAGGCCACATTCCTAAACAGCAAAGAGCCTGGAAGCTGTCTAGCCAAAGCCAGTGGGAAGTGAGGGACTTATTCCAAGATCCCATCTGACCAGCCTTCTGGGCAGATACTCACAGAATCCTTCGATCTTGTCAGCCGTCTTGCTCCAGGCCACCTGCCTGGTCTCTGTGATGACCTGGACCGTCCTCCTCTCAGGGTTAGACTTTTTGAGGCTAAACAGAGTCATGACAGTTCCTAGTTCCAGGGTCCGCTTGATCTGACTCTTCTCGTATTCAGGAAGTGTGTCTAAGCTGATCTTGGCGGTCATTTTAAATAAAATTCTTCAAAAGACGGGCAAAATGAGGAAAAACGGAAACCTGGCTACTTCTCTGATGGGCTAGAAAAAGAAGAGGGAAAACAGTAATTGGTCTATGACTTGTCTTATATAACCCTATATTCTGTAACTTTTCTCAATTCAGTTAATGGGACAAGATGAGTTACCCCCATGTCTCACACTCACACCTGATTATATCCAATTTACCTTGGATAGAGCTTGTCTGGACATAGTTGTTTGCATGTCGTCCCCCCCCCCCATTAGACTATAAGAACAGAAACTTATCTTTTGTCTTTGTTTGTATCCCCAGGGCTGAGGTGGCACTAAATAAACACTCCTTGACTGACGACAGCCCTCTCTGATAGGGGAGGTTTCCAGGGTTCAAATACTCAGCAGAGTAACTAAGAGTAACCACTAACACAGATGGTAGTAATACAATACAGCGTAGGCTGGTTGGAGCAGTATCAGTCCTCAACGAAAGAAAGATCATCTCCTAACTTTGAATAAGCCAAGCAACCCCCTTAACTACAAAACATTATAATCCTGCCACTTCTTAGGACAACTGTATGTTTGTTGCTAAGGTAGAGGGACTATTTCCATCATTTTACATTTGTACAATGTGAGCATCTTGAGCATAGAGGCCATTTTCCTTTTTGTTTTTTCATCCCCAATCTCCAGCACTGTGGCATACAGTAAGTGTTTAATCAATGCTTACTGATCAGATAAAAGAAAATGCTTCAAAAGCCTTCTCTACGGAGATTAGGCTACTTAAAGCACTTGCCTACAGGAAGAGTGGTGCTGGTCTCAGAGAGAACTGACATTTCATTATCACAAACATGCAGAATACGCTTGGGAACTGACACAGGCAACAAGCCATCGCCATGGGAATTTCTCCTTTATTAATATGTCTTAATTTTAATTGTGAGAAGCAGCTTGACAGTGAAAAGAGAGCTGGCCTCAGAGTCAGCAAGATCTGCCTCGGCTACATCCTGGCTTTGTGGCCTCTGGGCAGTCACTTAACCTCTTAGTGAGCCCAGGCAAGTCTCTCTGAGTGTAAAAGTTATGGAAGAATTGCCTATCTATATTTTTTGTTTTGTTTTTGTTTTTTTAGTGAGGCAATCGGGGCTAAGTGACTTGCCCAGGGTCACACAGCTAGTAAGTGGCAAGTGTCTGAGGCTGGATTTGAACTCAGGTCCTCCTGACTCCAAGGCAGGAGCTCTATCAACTGTGTCATCTAGCTAGCTGCCCCTGCCCATCTGTATTGGTAGAGAGAGTGTTCTCTGGGAGTTCCTATACCCACAAAATCATTTGACCCACCAGAACCAGTAAGCAGCCTCACCAAAGACCAGCTCAGTTTCAAAGTTTTAAACATACTCTTCCTCCTCAAATCACTGTGTCGGTGTGTAGCTGTTAACCTGGGGTGTCTCCCCAGTGGAACATGAGTTCCTTGGGGACAAGAGCAGTTTTCCTATTTTGCCTTTGTATCTTCAACAACTAGCCCAGTGCCTGAGCCGTTATGGCAGCCAGTAAGTGTTGGCTGGTTGACTGGTGGATTGACTGATTGCATTGGCTGCTTATTTTTCCTTTGAACAATTTTTTCAGGCCTCAAAGAAGTTACCATAGTGACTAGGACTAGCCTCGAAGCCAAGAAGACCGGAGTTCAAATCCTACCACTAACACACTTGACAGAGAATAAGTCACTTAAACTCTCAGTGTTCTAGAGAAAGCGGTGACCTGATTTTGGAGAGGGAATCCCCTCGCCTGGGAGTTCCCTGTACCAATGAAATCACAAGTCCAGTGTCTGGAGTTCCCTATGTCAATTAAATCACAAATTCAGTCCCTAATTTTCTCCTTCAGCATACCGAAATGGCTGTGGAGCCAAATCTAACCCATTTCCTTCCTCAAGCAAATTGTTCAATTTTCAGTGTGAACGTTAACACCTCAGAAATCGGCCACAAAGAAGGGCTCCATTTAGTGTTTTGCTAATTGTCTATACCTGAAAAAGTATTCATAATACAGATTAAATTTCAAAGTGTGCATGTATACATCCACCCACGCCCCAACCCAGCTGTTAAACATTTACCAGAATACCCCTGTCTGCAATCACTGATTTAACCCCATCTGTGTTCACTCTGTTCATTTCCAAATAGGAGAGACAGGAGAGAAAGAAGGCAGAGAAACAGAAATATGCAACTATAAAAGGAGGGGGGAGTAAAAATCTATCACAAGAAAACAACAAATATGGACTGGAGAGGAAACAGGACAAGAAGTGGGGAGCAAAGGGGGCCCAATCCTATGTTATAGTAAAGAATCCAAATGGTAAAAAAAAAAAAAAAAGAGAGAGTGAGAGATGCACCTGTCATAGCCTGTAAGGAAGCCATTGGGTGCCAAGGATGAGCATTCCCAGGACATAAAAGAAGTAGTTCTGAGTGTTATGGAAATTTAGGGATCAACCTCAAAGCCACAGCCTAGTTGTATTAATTAGTTAATTTAGTTTAATTAAATTGAATCTCCCTGACATGTAGCCCTTTCATTCATTTTTTAAGCATTGACTATCCTGGTTCCCATTCTGGCACCTGATCATAGTATTGCTCCATGTTGAATGTTTCTCTTCCCATTGGAAAGAAAAGTTCAGTGGGAGCAAGAACCACATCACACAATTAGCCTGAGCCACCACTACGTTGCTTACACGGAAAGCACACAATTACTACTTATTAACTCAAATGCTCCCTTCCTTCCACTTCACTAGGTTTCCAGTCACTGACAGCGGTGCGGCCTCAGAAGAAAACCCCTGATAAAAGCCTAGAGAGAATAACCTCAGACCAATCTGTAAGGGGCATAGAACAAAATGATTTGGGGGAGGGAGGGGAACTTCGCTGCTAATTCATTTAGGTTCTTGTTAATAAATGCTAAGAGTTTATATAATATTTTACTCCTTGTTTTGTATGTGGCTTTTGTTCCCGGTCGTTTGGCCAATACCCTTATTATGCGGTCTTTTTTTTTTTAAAGGAAAAAGAAAAAAAAAACAGCCTTTGATAAGTGAGGTCAGTTAGGCCTCTCTCAACAGAGGAACTAATTCTGCCCAACAACAAAAACGTCTCTCCACCACAAGAGACAGAGAAGGCTCTGGTCAGAGTTTGAGTCATGAGACTACAGAATGATTTCACCCTCCTACACATAGAGGATGGGAGATCTGTCAAGGTATGTCTCTGGTGATGACAGGCCAAGGGGAATAAGTTTAACGGTAGCCAGAAGGAGCCTAGATAAAACATTCCAAAGGTTTCCTCTATGTCATCATAACCAAGATAATTAACCTCTCTGAGCTTCAGTTTTTTTCATCTATAAAATGGGGATAATAATACACACACATAGGATCAATCTTACAGAATTCTTATAAAGTTCTGACACCCAGAGTTAAGATTATATGGATACCAGGCCTATTAACCTGGGGTCCATCAATTTGGTTAAGTATTTTGAAGACTATATTTCAATATAACTGGTTTCCTTTGAAATCCCATTTATATTTATTTTATACTCTTAAAAAACTATTCTGAGAAAGGGGTCCATGACACACGAAAAAGAATGTTAAGTATCACTAGTCTTGTCCAACTACTTCATTTTACAGATGAGGAAACCGAAAACCAGGGACCACAAGTAGTACTTCACCAGAGGTTACTCAGGTTTTGTCAGAGATGGAATTTGAACCCAGGTCCTCTGACTCCAGGAGGAGTGTTCTAGCCCATGACCCATACTAACCAGAAGAGCTAATGTGTATAAAGCACTATTTAAATACCAATTGTTATTTTTATTGTTACTATCAGTTAATAGGGCGAATTTGCTATTTTAAAAATGACAGATTTCTATTATTTTCTAATGATAGATAGATAAGAGATGAAGCAGAGCAAGTAGTGCAAAAGCTGTAATCCTGGTGCACTTCCTCTGATTCCTTCCTGCCCTCTCTGATCATCAGATCATCATCACCACCAAAGCCCTGACTCCAGCAAGAGCTGTGCTAGGGCAAAGGGGCAAAGACAGTAGACTCCACGTTGGCCTACTGATTCTCTACAGCCAAGTTCAAACAAACAGATCACTACCTTCTCTGCAATTTATAATTGCCCAGAGCACAGAGAGTTTAAGTGATTTGCCCAATGTCACACAGCCAGTATGTGTCGGAGGCAGGCAGAAAACAAAAATACCTAATATAAAAACTCCTTTCAAACAAGTCAGACAGAAATTGGCAGATAAGGTTCAGATCACCTCAGAATCCCTCTAATTCTTTAATGATACTCACAGTCTGGTCTGATGGCAAACTAAACCATTATTTGGTAAGGAACCAGCAGGCCTTCTCCCTCTATCTTTTGCAGGAAAGTCAGCCCAGACACCATCCAGAGCACCAAAATCTGTAGGTACTCAGTATTACCTCTTGTTTTGGAGTCTACATTAGATTCCTCCCCAACAAACAAGCAATTAACTGTCACCTATTGTTCAGAGATAGTCAGAAAATCAGGCTGAGGTTCTATTCCCACTGACTCTTTTGTTAAGCAAGATTTTCTTTCAGGTTCCAAAGTAATAACCATCTTCAAAAAGTTTTAGTCTTTTTAAAAATAGGGCAAATTTGAATTTGCAACATCTTTTTGTTCTCTACAAAAAAAAATTGTCACATGACAATGTTGTTGTTGTTCATTCATTCAGTCATGTTGGATTCTTCATGATCCCATGGCCCATAGCACAATCGGCCCTCCTACACTCCACTATCTCCTGAAGTCTATCTAAGCTCATTGTTCATTGCTTCCATATAATAATATGTAGTAGCAAAGCTGGTAATGGCCCAAGTGGAAGATTAGACTATACTCTTGAAACAATAATAATAACAGCAACTCACAGAATGGTATAGTGGAAAGTGCCAGATTTGAAGTCAAAGGACTCGGATTCAAATGCTGTTGTAATACTTACTACCAATGAAACCTTGGACAATTCACTTCATCTGGGCCTATTTTCTCATGTGTAAAATGAAGGGGTTGGTCCCTTCCACTTTTAAATCCCAGGATCCTAATACTTAAAGCATTGGTTCTGAACCTTTTCCATGCCATGGATCCCTTTGGCAGTCTAGTGAAACCCAGGGACTCCTTCTCAGAAAAATGTCCTTAAGTGCATAAAATAGAATACATAGGATTATAAGGGAAACTAATTCTACTGAAATAGTTATCAAAAATTTTTTAAACAAATTCACAGATGTCAGGTTAACAACCACTGGCTTCAAGTACATAAAGCACTTTCCTCCCAATCCCATTGAGGGACATAGTAAAAAAATAGTTTGAAGGACAAAGAAGATGGGACTTGGAATCAAATATGGGACCTGGCTTCATATTCCACTTCTGCCATTTACTACCTGAGAGACCCTAAGTATGTGTCTTTTTTTAAAATTTATTTATTTTTGTTACATTTTAAGTTAGGAACTTAATCCCACCCCACACTAGAGAAAGCTACCATTTGATGCATTTTATAAATACATGTAAAGCCATACTATGCATACTTCTATTTATCAGTTCCTTCACTGAAGGTGAATAGCATCTTCCTTCATAGGTCCTTTATAGTTGTTTTTGAGTATTTATAGTACTCAGAATAACTTGGTTGTTCACAATTATTCTTTGAACAATATTACTGTTACTGTATACAACATTCTCTTGGTTCTGCTCACTTCACTCTTCATCATTTCATGGAAGTCTTTCCTTGTTTTTCTAAAATGAACCATCTCATTATTTCTTACAGCATGGTAGTACAGTATTCCATCACAATCATATACTACAACTTGTTCAGCCATTCCTTGATTGATGGACATCTCCTCAATTTCCAGTTCTTTGCCACCACAAACAGAACTGATATAAACATTTTAGAACAGAAAGGTTCTTTTCTTCTTTCCCTGATTACCTTGGGAAACAGGCCTAATAACAGTATTGCTGGGTCAAAGGGTATGCTCCTGAATATTTCTCTTCCCTTCTTTGGGGCTCAGTCTTCTCAACTGAAAATGACAGGATTGAACTAGATGACCTCTTGGCCCTCCCAGCTCTGTATTGATGATTCTACAATTCTCATTTTGTAAATGAGGAAACTGAAAAGCAGAAGAGTTACATGTCTTAAGGTCATATAGCTTTGGAGGGGCCAGAATCCAGACAAGTCTGACTTGTAGTCCCACGCTGGATCTCCACTACTCTCTGCTGCCTCTCATCTTCTAAATAAATCCTACAGATATGAAACACAAGGAGCTCTCCTGCATATAAATGGAAGAAACAGTGGGATTTTCTAGTTGTTTAATACTCCTTTTGAAGTATTTTTCCTCTCCCAGAATGTAGTTATGCAAGTCACATGATAAAATCCTCAGGGGGCAAAGAAAATATCTATTTCTAAAACCTAAAACCTAAATCTAGACATCTCTGAGCATTAATGTGTTAGAACCTATTTACACATATTTCTTGATCTCTCACCCCACCCTCACTGAAAACTGTTGTAAACATTTTGGAGAACAATACGTAGTAGGACTCCCAACAATTCCATTGCTTGGAATCTCCCCCACCCCAAGAATAACTGAATGGACCTAGCTGCACAAAAATGGTCAGATCTATTTGAAATAACAAAAAAAAATTTTAACAACTTCTCTAAAACTTGAAGAATAAATAGGACTGAATCAATTATGGTATATTGATATAACAAAGCATTACACTCAAAATGATCTGTGATAGCAGCAATTTAGATGTTGCCTCCCATGACGCAGATTACAACCCATCCATGGCTTCCCCATCCTATACAACTCTTGTCCATGACCTCCCATAATTTCACCAGAGAGCATCCATCCAAAGTGCCAGAGGCCTTAACAGAATATTATTCTGCTATCAAAAATTATGAATATGAATCATATAAGGACATACGGAAAGAACTCTCGGAAAAGATGCAAACTGGAATTAGCAGAGCCAAATCTTTAGGTATATTGACCAGAGACAGCTAGTGGCATGGTGAATAGCCAGGAAGGCCTGTGTCAAAATCTAGTCCTAGGTACTTACTAGCTGTGAGACCATGGGCACCTCACTAACCTCTGCCTCCTTTTCCCCAGCTGTGAAATGGGGATAATAATAGCACCACTTCAAAGGAGATCAAGTGAGATAATACTTAAAACAAGTGTAGCACAGAGCCTGACACATAATAGTCGATATGTAAATGCTTATTCCCTTCTCCCCTCCCCCCATTGGCAAGTGACAAGCAGAGGAGACAGCGACAGGCCTGAAGGAGTCCTTGGAGCAAAAGCAGTTTCCTCCCTTGTTTATTAATTTGATTACACCTTGTTAAAGATTCTATGTAAGACTGTACCATTTTGTGTTTATTCATTTGCTTATAATATCAAGAGAGAAAAAAAAACTTTTACAGAGATTTCAGGACAGAGTTATTATGAAGGGGTGTTTTTTAGTATAGAAACTTAAGTCCTCTGGTCTAACTATTCTTCACAGACACAGAAGAGCGAGAAGATTTGTCCACACCAGCTCCTGCTCAAACTACTCCGGGAGGCAGCCCCAGACTCTACAGGCTGTACTTTGCATTCCCTCCTCGTCCTCGATTTTGCAACTAAACTTTGTATCTCCCGAATGCCACACACAGTACCGCTTGCACCAAATATTATTTGTTAAACTGAATTATTTCATAGTCCAGAACTCATATGACACTGCAAAAATACCCTTGTGAGACAGAGAAGTGCCCATGTATATAAATAAACTTGAAGGAGAGGAGGACTCAGTACAGACAGATGCCAGGCACTATCTACGAAGGATGGGGGTAACCCACAACCATGCATTCTAGACAGACTCAAGCTTGGAAGGAGGGGAAGACTACAATTTGGACACACAAAAGTGAGAAAAGTGAGCTGGAATAATCAAAAGAGAAGTGAAAGAAAAGGGAAGAAGGAAGGCAGCCACACAGGGGGTTCAGGACGGATCGAGGTGTATAGGGCTCTCCTTGAATGGGCTAACTCCTGGGGAGGAAGCTTGGGAGATTCCGAGGCAGCAAGTCTAAGGGTTAAACGAAGGAAGGGGGAAGGGAGAGATGAGAAGGTGATCCTTGAGTCCCAATCAGGGACCTCGGAAGTCAGGTGAGGGACCCGAGCTGTCTGGCCCTCACGCCCCCCGCACTCCGGAGCACCGCACAGCAGGACAGGCAAAGAGGAGCACCCCTGGCTGCTCTTAGCCAGTAGCACCCAGCCCACAGCTGCACGGCTTCCTTCCCCTCCTTTGCGAAATGCAAGTAGCGCCTCAACGGGACTGGCGCGCCCCCTTTCCCCCAAACTGCGGCCCCTAGAGGGAGTGGCTGCCCTCCGGGGGTGCCCAGGACCCAGTTATGTCCAGGCTATTCTAACTGTCCGAGTCCAGGCAGTGAAGCTGGGGAGAGGGAGCTTTCTCTGAAGCAGACACACGCTTTAGGAGTGGGGAGTGGCGTAGGGACCAGACGCACCCCCTAACTCGGCTTTGATGCTTGGCGGGGAAGGGGGAGTCAGTTCCTTTCTGTGGCCACCCACCGCCTCCGCAAACATACATACTTCGATACCTACCTACCTACCTACATACATACATACATGCCTACGTACATACATAACATTGCCTCCTGGCACCGTCCAGGACGGGCAGCTCTCGCTCTACTAGACCCAACCGCTGCCCAAGGGCAGTAGCCAAACTCACCACCTGTGGCCAGGACGCCCTGCCCCCGGGCAGGATTGTGCAGGATGATTAACGGAGCGGGGGGCAGCCAGCCTGCCGCCCGGACTCCCTCGAGGACCCCTGCACCTTGGGGCTGTGGCTGCAGCTACGGCCCCTTTCCCCGTCGGTCTCCAGGACGCTCTCCTGCCACTGCGGCCGCTTCCTCACTCAAGAATTTGAACTTCTGCTTCTGCTTGTGTGGCTCGCAGCTCACCCTCCACGTGACCCACCCGCCTCCCCGAAGACCAGCCTTGCCTGGGCCCCGGTCACTGCCTCCCCTGGGACCCGCCCTCGCTCCTCCAGCCTGGGGCGCGGTGCTCCGTGGTGTTGGCTGCTGCAGAAGCTTCCGGGCAGACCAGCCTCGAATTGAGGCCAAGCGGAGCCAAGATGAGCCCTCAGCCGCAGGCCCTGGGTTCTCCTTGACATCCTACCCACCCACACCCACTCCCAAAAGTTCCCTTTTTATGGTTACTACTGTTTCTGCAAAACAGACCCTGGGCGCCAGTGGCTCAGGTCTAACCATACATATCTTTCCCCTTCACCACCACTCCCATTCACAACACCAGTGGCTCCCTGTTACCTCCAGGATCAAATATAAAATCCTCTGTTTAGCTTCCAAAGCTCTTGGTAACCTGTCCTCCTCACCCCACCTGGGCCTTTCTAGCCTTCTTACACCTTAACTCCCCCCACAAACTGCCCATGCAGTGACACTGACCTCTTTGCTGTTCCTCAGAAAGGATGCTTCATCTCCAGCTGAGCTTTTTCACTGCCTAGAATTCTCTCCTCCCTCATCTCTGCCTCCTCATTTCCCTATCTTTCTTGAGTCTCAGCTCAAGTCCCATCTTCTGCAAGAAGCCTTTCCCAGTCCTCAATCTTAGTGCATTCCCTCTGAGACCACCCCCAATTTATCCAGTAGCTTGTTTATTTATATATAGTTGTTTGCATGTTATCTCTCCCATTAGAGTGTGAACTCCTTGTAAGCAAGGACTGTCGTTTTGTTTTGTCTTTCTTTGCAACCCTTGCTTAGCACAGTTCCTATAGCTTAATAGGTGCTATCATATCTCTTTCTGAAGACCCCTGCCATTGACCAACTCCATCTTTTATAAAGACATAGGTAAGAGTGACTTGGCCAACTTGTCACAGCAATTTATAGTACTATAAGCAAAATTCAGTCTAATACAACAACATGTATAGTCCCAACATTGTGCTAGCTCACAAGGAGTAAAAGTATCTCAAAGCTGGAAGGACCCTCTAGGCTAATCCCCTCCTCAGTGGATACCTTAAGAGACAGGATGTCCATGTAAAGAGCCCTGGATTTGGAAGCAGAAGATTCCAGTTCAAATCTCTCCTTTTTTACTGCAGGTAGTTACTGTAACTACAGTAACTACAGCTTTGGACTTGAAGTCAGGCATATCCCTGTCTTCACACTTAACTGAGTAGCCATGCTCAAGTCTAGTACAGTGAGGAAATTTTTAGATCTGGAATCAGGATCTGGATTCAAATCCCAATTCTTCTACTTAGTACCTGTAGGAGTTTGAGGAAGTCATCCAACCTCCTCTGGGCCTCAAGTTTCCTGAACTATGAAATGAGGGAGCTGAACTGGATGGTCTTTCGAAGGTCTTATCCAGTCTAAATGGATGAAACAACACCTTAACCCTTCAGTTTCTTCATCTATAAAATTGGGATTGAAGAATCACAGAATTTTAGAATTGGAAGGAAATTTAGAAGCCATCTGGCCCAAAACACACTTGAAAACAAAATTCCCCTACAGCATACCTGATAAAGTATTATCCAGCCTCTTCTTGAAAACCTCCAATGAGGAAGAACCCACTACCTCTGGAGGTAGCCTGTTCTACTTATGGATAACCATGATGATTACATTATTGAAGGTTAATAATACTTCCATAGCACTCACAAGGAATTGGAAGCACCAATGAATGAGATCATGTATGTAGATCTTTTATAAATCTTAGAGCAATATATAAATGTCAGCTGATATAGTTATGATTACTTGTGTAACCTTGGGAAAATCCTGTCCTTCTTTGACATACATTCCTCATCTGTAGAAGGGAGTGTTGGACTAGATTAGATAACTCTTTCCAACTTTGAACCATGCCGTGATCTTCTCTTTCCTCTGAAAATCAGAGAACTCTAAACATATGTGATACCAAGACCCAGTTCCTTCCTCTCTCCCCTCTCTTTCCTATAGGTGTTTCTCTACACATCTCCCCATAGGCCTCATGGAATTGACTGGGGCCTTGGGAAATTCCAAAAATTACAATCACCATGCTAAACAAAAATGTTTTCTTGCATTTTGACTTTATGTGGCATCTTTTGAAGAGTGCAAGACTTTCTGAAATATCTCCTTCAGTCCCTGAGGGATGTCACAGCTGCAGGGCTGGGGGCCCCTCCCCCTAGTTGGGGGAGTGAGGATGGTGAGAGAGTGAGGAACAAAGCGGTTAGAGATCATTTGCCTGGAGACTTTCAAAAGTCTCTTAGTACAGCCAGGCACAGGACATAGGTACAGCTAAACTTTGGGCTTGACTAGAGCCTGTCCCTAAAAAAAAAAAAAACAAAGGAGAGATGTCCAATTCCCAAAATTCTATGAGTCTCTGCCCATGATCCCCTAATAGGAAGAAGAGGATTATCTGCTGGTTTCGAGAGAAAGGGGGGGCTTGGTAATAAAATTCAGACAGAAATCATAAGCTAAGTGCTCTGGATTCTCCCTGAGGGAGAGGGCTGGCTAGAAGACAGTGCCTCTGAGTAGTCATGCTGCCCAATGCCAGTGCTGGGATGGGTAGGGGGAAGGACAGCTGAGAGGTTGAGGGAGGTGTACTTTTGTGAGTGATATTCACCCAGCAGGTGTACGCATATGACCAAAAACACAGTCAAGAAATCAATCTCTTTCAGGTGTGTCTTTAAGGCGACACCCTGGCTTCCTGTGATTTTTTTTTTTTTTTGCAGGAGGAGTCCAGTATTGGGAGCTCCTGATAAAGGAACTCCCTCTATCAATTCAAATCAGCAAATATTCTACAAATTACCACCTTAGAGAGCTGACTGGAACAAAGTTAAGTGACTTGCCCTAGGTCCCACAGCCAATATGGGTGAGAAGTGAGATTCGAACACAGGTCATCCTGATTCCAGGGTCAAAGCCAGTCCTCTATCCACCATTGCATTATCCTGGTATTCAAAGAGGAAGAATAGAGAGCTGGATTTGGAATCAAAAAGACCAAGGTTCAGGCCCCTTTGACTGGAACCGACTGTATGACCTTGGGCAAGTCACTTAACATTGCAATGTCTCAGACAATTTTTTAAGACTAATAGTTTCAAAGTAAGTGACTATCTGTGTGCATCCAACTACATTCACTACAGCAGTGCTCTCACTTGAGAAGTTCCCAGATGACAATGACAGTAAAAGGTCTTGACTAATTCTATGGTATAGGGTCTGGCACAATCTACCCAAAAGGGGAAGGGGCATCATCAAGAGATAGGGAGTTATCCTCCTTCAGCTTCTGTTTGAAGGGGTCTCCAAGGGATGACTGAATGACCATTTGCCTGTTGGATGATAGTAGAAATCCATTTTCACTTGTGCTGTACCTGAGGGCCAATCGGTTTCCTTCCAACTCTCAGATTCTGTGAGTCTGTGATTTGATAGCCATGTGAATACACATACACCCATATGTTGTTCTTTCAGTCGTGCCCAACTCTTCATGACTCTGTGGACCATAGCACAACAATAGCACCCATGGGTTGTTTTTTTGTTTGTTTTGTTTCTCTGTTTTGCAAAGATACTGGAGTGGTTTGCCATTCCTTCTCCAGTGGATTAAGGCAAACAGAGGTGAAGTGACTTGCCCAGGATCACACAGCTAGTAAGTATACACATCTGTAGACACACTTATTCACCACAAAAATTACATATTTAGAGAGGCAGTATTGCCTAATAGATAGAGAGCTAACCCTGGGTCCAAGTCCTGCTAGCTAACTACTTAACCTCTTAATGACCTAAATCTCTAATACTTTTATACAGAAGTCACTAATCTACATTGGTGGCAGATCAAAGTCATATGTATTTAGTATGCTTTGATTGCAGTGGTGACAGTATCCAAAAAGAAGTTACCCATTTTAAGACTAGAGGTCGAATCTCACTTTTTTAACAACAAATCTCAAGTCAGTCCCTGGGAGGCAGTGTGCTATAATGGAGTGTTAAACTTGAAGTCAAGAGACCCGGGTTTGAATCCCAGTTCCAACCTATATTAGTCTTGAGACATTAGGCAAGCTTATTTCTCCTCCTGATCCTTAGTTTCCTCATCTATAAAATGGGGATGGTAATATGCACCTCCAACATCACAAGATTATTGTGAGGAAGTATAAACCTTGAGCTACTAGAAACCTGTGAGCTTGGGAGATGGTGTGGTATAGAAGACAGAGTTCTTCAGTGGAGATAGGTGTCTTGGGTTCAAATCCCAACATTGATATCTACCAGCTGTGACCATTTTACCTTATATCTCTAATACCCAGGGTACAGTGGTGTTATAAGAATCAGATGAGGTAATGTCTGTAAAGTGCTTTGTTAACCTTAAAGTAAATTCAGATATTAGCTATTATTAATCACACAGATTTAGAGCTAGAAAGTACCATAGAGGTCATCTATTCAAACCCCTCATTTTATAGGCCCATATTATTTAAATGGCAGGCAGCTCGGTGGTGCAGTGGACAGAATGCTGGGTCTGAAGTCAGGAAGACTTATCTTCATGAGTTCAGATCTGACCACAGACACTTACTAGCTGTGTGACCCTGGGCAAGTCACATTTGCCTCAGTTTCTTCTTCTGTGAAATGAGCTGGAGAAGCAAATGGCAAACCACTCCAATATCTTTGCCAAGAAAACCCCAAAAGGAATCTTGAAGATTTGGACTTGACTAAACAGGAAGGAGGAGAAGGAGAGGAGGAGGAGGAGGAGGAGGAGGAGAGGAGGAGGAGGAGGAGGAGGAGAAGAAGAAGAAGAGAAGAAGAAGAAGAAGAAGAAGAAGAAGAAGAATAAAAATAATCTAGCCCCTTTTATACACAGGAGAATAAAGGAGTAACACTTAGCCATAGACTTCCTTCTATTCCCCCAAAGACAGAAATCACAGCATCCCCTGGAGATGGAATAGGCCAGATCCTAGATCAGATATCTGTCCATGCCCCACTCACACTA